CGCGTCTCAATACAATCCATTTCCTGAGAATGATAGTACAAATAATGTTGCTATGCCTGATCAGTCTTTATTCGGTGCTCAATATGATCCCTACCAACTTTTCGATGGGAATGGTGAGATATTGCCAAGGTTAGGATCTTGTGCTACTAAAGAAGCTAGGAAGAACAGAATGGCTAGGCAGAGACGACTGCGGCCGCATCATTATCGCCACCAAACTCGGGTTCCAAGACAAATTACTAATGAGCAAAGTGTAATGATGGGTGGGGAGATCAATAATAATTATGTAATGACTCAAGCTAACAATCCAGGAAATTGGGTATGTTGGCCTTCTCCACCAATGGCGATGGTTTCACAATCACTTCCACCGGAGAGGCCGGCTATGCAATCACAGAACCAGCAGAAGCAGGTTTCGGCTTCGGCTGACAAAAAACAGGTATGTTTCGGCGCAAAATCATTTTTGAGTTTAAACTTTTATACACTAACAGTATAAATGATTAGTCATCTAAAGGATAATCCATTGAAAAGTGGAATTAAGAACTTGGAAAATAAGACAGGTTAACTCGTAAATATACTTTACGAAATCGATGTAAGAGAGAATCTGGCTGTTAGAAGAGAAATAGAACATAGGTAAGCTTGAGGAATATAAATGTGGAAAAAAATCATCCCTTGTAAGAGCTCTTGGATCACCCTGCACACTCATATGGTGAATATTCAGGGGTAAATTTATCGCCTTAATTATAGGGCACGCGAAACTATGATTTATTTGCGAAATTAGGTATGTTATGTACATATTTTCTAAAATTGATCTAATTAATATTAGTAGTTGGCACCGATGCTCCAAAAAGGCTGAATGATGCACTTGGTGGAAAGCTAAATTATTTACATCGAGGAATAGTGATTAATTTCCATTTAATGTTTTCCCCCCTTCTTAAGTGGTGCACCCATGTTCAAGAAATCCTAGATCCGACCTTGTGAATATGAGTTAAATCCGCTTCCTAATGGCTAATTTAATAGTTCGTCAAATATTTCTAGATGTATGTATGTATGTATATATGCCGAGTGAATATTATTCAAATTTCGTTTGGATGTTCTTCAATAGGCATTTAAATCAGAGAAGAATCTGAAGTTTCTCCTGCAAAAAGTGCTGAAACAAAGCGACGTTAACAATCTCGGAAGAATTGTCTTGCCAAAGGTAATTTAATTTTACATTTATCTTATATGGTGATCTATATTTATTTGGTGATTAAAATGTGACTTAAGTGGATTACTGAAAATTTTGTTTATAAGCAGAAAGAAGCAGAACGTCATCTTCCACATCTTGAAACAAGAGATGGAATTTCAATTGCCATGGAAGACATCGGAACTTCTCGTGTTTGGAACATGAAATATAGGTACCGGACCCAGAATAATCATCCATTGTCAAGTTATTTATATTTACGTTACTCGATTCAATTGTTTTCCTTTTGTTCAATTTTAATCATCATCTATTTATATGGAGTAACAATTGCTATTTGTGTTCTGTTTCTCAGATTTTGGCCAAATAACAAAAGCAGGATGTACCTTCTTGAAAACACAGGTTCGGATACAATCAATCCCGCTCTTGCTTTGCTTTGCATAATTCATTAAAATGTATTAAGTGACGTTTTATTGTGCCTTTTTTTTCAATTTGTGAAGGTGATTTTGTTAAAGCTAATGGACTTCAAGAAGGCGATTTCATTGTAATATATGCTGACATGAAGTGTGGCAAATATGTAAGTCGATAATTACAATATTGTGCTTTAGTTTTGTTATCACTATAAGCGCGTAATTGTTTCATCATTTGAGTTAAAATTGTTCGATCGTGTATACATCAGTTGATACGAGGAGTAAAAGTGAGGCAGAATGGACCAAAGTCGGAGGGAAAAAAACAAACGAAGAAAAATCCTCGTAAGTTGTCATCTGCAGCTGCTATTAGCTCATCTCCAGTTGCTCAAGCAGTTAGATAATTAATCTCAACAAGTTCCCAAATTAGTATCAAGAGTATGATATTGTAAACTAGATTTCTCTGTATAGATGTTCGAATTTTGGCAAAGTGTTGTAGTAGATAAATATGTAAGTTGTAATCGGTGCGTAAATGCCGGATGTTTTGTGGATTGGGCTGTCTTTTTTCTGTTATCTGAACGTGTTGTATGTATGTTTTTCTAAGTTTAGATCATGTAATGACCATCAATTATAATCTACTTTAAGTTGCATATACACTGACGGTGCAAATAATTTTATACTATCAACTGCATTTGACTGATTTTTATCTGAAAATATATACATCGACAATGCAAAAAATTAGTACTCTATTTTCCAGATTATCATATGAGAGACTTGGTATGAAGAGTACTTTTGCTCTGGATCTTCACTTCAATATACAAATGTCTATCCCTTTTTAGCTTGGGTGTCGCATGACTTTCAAAGTGAACTATCCTAACTAAGCGACTATCTGAAATATTCTTCCCTAAATTCATTGTATTTCTTAATCCTAATTGAGTGACTATCTGAAATATTCTTCCCTAAATTCATTGTACTTCTGAAATTAAGGTTTATAATTCAAAAGTCGCTCTATTTAAGGCAATTTACTTAGAAAGTTGCTCAAAAGCATTTTTTGAGGACATGAAAATATTTTTTTTTTCTGGTTAGAGTATTTGTTGTTAATAAGTACTCTATTTAAACGATACCAATCATTTAAACCATACCAATCATATGTTAGTGTCTCCAACAAGATTTTCTTCATATTTAAGATTCGAATTCGAAAACTCTAATAAGAGTGAAGAAGTCTCATCACTGCATCACCAAATATACATAAATCTTATTATCTTTATGAAAGAAAAAGGTTATTTTGGATAGATTATGCAATTCACACCACTCTGGTTATAAAATATGTAAATATCACTTTAGCCATCAAAACAAATTTCTTCTGTATTAGAAGACAATAGAAGAAGAAAAAACAGTAGGGAACATGAACAAACTAAAATTGGCGATATGTATAACAACGTTTTCTGTTTCAAAGGGAAACTTGGACCAAAGTAGAAATAAAAAACCACCAAAAGCAAAACTTGGTGCCCATCGATCGATTTTAACTTTGCAGATTTTACGCCACACGTTTTCATATCAATGATTCAAAAAATCGGCCACTTTCTTTTTTTAGTTCACATTTAGTGTCCGAAACTTTTGTTGGAGGTCCAATTAAATTTGAATTAGGCACGACAGGACTCATTCTGAAATGGCACTCTCAACATAATTTTCTTTATACTTAAAACTCGAATTCAAGCAGTCCCTCCACTTCACCACGACCCAATTCAAATATGGTTCACTTTTTATATAACAAGAAATGAAAAAAAAAAAACTCTTAAGAGTCTAGTATTCTCCATTGATGACAGAAGATAGAAGCAAGCAGCTTAATTCTCTTTCATATTATAAGATTGGACCGACTACCAATTTCTTGTAATCTTAATCTAAAAGCAAGTAAATCAAATCCTTTTTCTCCTCTCCATTCGTCACACAAACGGCTCATTTTATTTTCTTCTTTTGTCCATACGTGCGTACACATCGAAATTCTTCAAGATAAGTTCAATTTTTATTAAGATTTTTGAAGATTAATTTTATCAGAAATCCTAGCTTATTTATAATTTTTTGAGATATTCATAAATAGATTAATTATTTTTAGCAATAAACTATTATTTCTAAAAAATCCAAATTATACAATATTCAAGCCCTCAAATCACAGAGAGAAACAGAATAATACTCAATAAGTTTTTTAAAAATATTTTATGTTTATCCGTTTTTACTCTGTGGTAATGGTGGAGAATTGAGCCAATGGTGTTATTGAAGCTGAAGTTGGGAAACCGACGAAATTGTAATTGTGCAAAAAGCATGCTAAATAAAGTAACCAATTATCAAAGCTATTTTAATTTTCTTTCATCTGTGCATCAGACAAAATACAGCTCCCCAACCTTCTTTTTCCTCTTTTGAAGTGATAAACATAACCTCATTTAATTCCCCTCACCAATTTTATCATTTTCCAACTTTATGAGCATTGTATAATTCGTCATTGGCAAAAGAATGTAAATAAGTCCATTTGTTTGTACATGTAAAATTAAAGGTTATATTTAATTATAATTTTTTAAATAATAGTTTAACAGAGACACGTGCCAAGAAAAGAATAAGTCCACCATTTCAATATGAACAGAGCAAAGAATGAGCCTGTTTTTTTAATTTCTCAATTTCCCAGTCTGTCCAACGTTTATTTTTAGAAAGAGAATTGAGGTGCCTGTGTCATCCATGGAGATTTCTTTTTTTATTAATGGACCGCTGGATTGCACCATTTAGGTGACTTCACGTATGCCCTGAATTCAGGGAATAATTTATTTTAACTATCTGCACCAAAGTATTTACTCCTTGGTTTTCACCTCTATCCACTTCTAGTTATTATTCCGTTTCACAGTTTAACTTTAAACAATTAGATAGTTTAGAGAAAAACTAATGAATTATCTGTAGATGTTGGCTATTGTCTAATGTAGATAAATATGAAAGCTGTAAACTGAATATATTGTATGTCCTGTTTCCAAGTTTAAGCAATGTAATGACCATCATAATTTATTATCTTAGTTTAAGTTATATACGCTGACGTTATACTTATATTATCGACCGCATTATTTGAATGTTCTTTGTCCATCCATCAATGACTAGTTAGCAGCGGTAGATGCAAGTACTTTTGGACCTACGAGTTCAACTGAATTCAGAATTTTTAATCACAAGTAATAGAGTACTTAGGATCGACAAATTTAAAAATGTATGTAAGGTATTTTTTATGTACATATAAAGATTTTGAATTCTTAAAATACATGACTAAAAGTTATTTCAGTGATTTAGAGAATTCAAAATTCACGTTGAGATTTCAAGTTCGAATCTCATACTACGGTAATACATCAAACTCGCAAACTTCTGTCTGCGGTTTCAGCAAAACTAAAAAAAAAAAAAAAAAGTCTTAATCTTACAAATTAAGAGATAATGTCTCTGTTTTTGAAATAGAGGAAGTTGAAATTCAGTTTTTGGAGTTCATTCCCTGATTGACATTATTTTTTATAGCCTCTGTGGATTCTTCAGCTTTGCCCTTCACAGTATCTTTCACTTTTTGGGTAGTTTCTTTAACTGATTCCCATGTTTGTTGTGCTGTGTTTTTGGCTTTTCCAGCCATCTCTTGTGCTGTGTCTGCAACCTTTTCTCCCACTACTTTCGTCTTGCGTATCGCCTTCCAAAACATACGTTTATATAGTAAGATGAGAATCAAAGTTTTACACACTAACAATATAAGAAATGTTATAACTAGAATCGCTGACATTGTGGTTGCAGGTCAATAGATATATACACAAGTATCGACCAATTGATTGATAATTAGAATGAACGGTAAGTAATGATACTATGATATAACAGGTTAAATTTGTAAAGATATGACACTTCGGTCAGATCAATTTTTCATCCCTCTATCGATGTGCCCAGACCTCAACTGGAGCGTGAACACTTCTAAATGGGGGTTCAACATCACTGAACAACAACTTGGAATACCATGTAAAGATATGATACTGGACCTAACTCAATCCCAAAAACTAGCTCATGAGAAAAGGTTTGTCCAAGTCCATATAAGAAGACCAATTTCCCATCCCTCTATCGATATGGGACTTCTTAAGAAAATTACACACCGAGAAACCTAAGTATCCATTCCCAAGCTGTCAACAGCTAGCGCATCCAAGGTCTTGGTAGCTAGCTCAATTGAAGAGGTCTAGCCGATCTGAGAAGTGCTAATAGAGACAATTGACTTTAATAAAAAAGTCATTTCGATTCAATTCATTCTTACAGGTCGATACATTTCATGTCATTTATTAAAGCTCTTTTCTTATATGTTGATACATTTCAAGTCATTTACTAAAAGCTCTTTTTTTTAAAGATCGCTACATTTCATGCTTTTTACTAAAAGCCTTTTTTCATAAGTTGTTACATTTCAGGTCATTTATAATCTCACAAGGTGAAATATAGAAAGATAACCTATGAAACCGAAAGTTTATGCTTTTTCTAAATCATTAAGAGGGAAAAGCCCAGCCAAAAACAATTACATGTTTATCACAATTAGAAATAAGATGAAAACAATATATAGACATTAATGTGTGACCTGATCAGCAACAGAGGCAGTCTCATTTTTCACTTCTTGGCTGGCTCTTTTGGCAACATCAGCACCCTGTTTCATTGCATCTGCACCCTTTTGAACTGTGCTACGAGCCTCATCTTTAAATGCCGTTGCCAGGTGGCGATTTGCTATTTGCTGCAAAATTTAATTTTAGAGACTTCCTCTCAGATTTAACTTCGTAAGCAGTCAATAAATATACGTGATATAGTACTTTAAGATGGTTGATATCATAATGTGTGATATTACGGAGAGTGGACGACACGACTACAAAGTAAATATCCTACGATAGAAAATAGAACTTTTAAGATTCTTTGTGAAACAGAATAAAATGAAACCAAAACATTTAAATTGAAACAGATCAATATGTGTATATCGAGAGACGACGAGGTGACTACAAAGTAAATAAAGTAAAGTTCTTACAATTCTTTCTGGAATAATAAAGCGAAAGTAAAACATTCAAATTGAAACAGAGTGAGTTTAAAACATATTGGAAGTAAAATAATAATCACCTTGAAAGGCCTGAATGCTCCACCAACAAAAACTCTAGTAAATCCCATGCTTGCCATGTCTGGTTTTATTTTATTTTTTAAAATTATTTTTTTTGGTTTCTTGAAATTTATTTGCTTATTCTTTTTAGGGTTATAAATAGAGGAAGAAATTGCCATGTTTTTCTCTGTTTTAATGGCTAAATGAAATTCCCTTAGGATTTGAGGTAATTTTATTGCCTTTTTTCCAGTTTAAGCTAATCATCACTAATTAAGAAATTAAAAAGAGTAATACACGGATCACTCTCTGCTTCAATGCCACTAATCTTTTAATTGGATATTAAAGAAAGAAGATTAACACCAGAAATAAATAAACATAAACATAAAAAGGTTTTTGTTTGTTTTCATTTAATGGAGATCTGAATTTTAAATATTCAAAGCTATTTAAATGTGTTTATATTTTTAAGATAAAACTTATTTACCCTTTTTAAATTCAAATCTTCTATAAAATTCCTAATTGGAGCTAACAATTCTTTTGATAATTTATTGCTAATTCGTTGCTAAATAATTTTAGCAACAAATTTTATTGTTTAACTATTTTTATATCGTTACTTCCTTTTCTTAGTAATCCATTCTTTTCTTCCTTCTTTTTCTTAAAGTTCATTCTAATATACCCCTCGTTACAAAGTTGCTCGCATACGTATAAGGAAAAAGGAAAAAAAAACATAGAAGAAGAATTGCTAAAATTGAATTGGACTCATAGAAGAAGATAAAAAGATTTATTGCTGACCAACCATAGTGAATCTTATAAATTTAGAACATACAAAAACTAGCAATATAATTAAGTTGTAGTTATATTATTCTTGAAAGAAAAATGGACCAAATAACTTAGCAATAAAAATGTAAAAAAAATTACTGAGAAGTAGCACAATAACAACCCAAAATTCCACTACCAATTTTAGTACAAGTTCCATTCTGAAATCCCTTTGCAATACAAGCTGCATTACAATCTGGAAATTGATCACATGGTCCTAAAAGGACAACATCAGCAGCTTCACTTGACATAACAAAAAGAGCCAAACAAAATAATCCAATTAGTAAAATGGATTTGTTAATAGCCATTTTCTTAGATCTAATTAATGTTTTTGTGTGTTTGTATGTATGTTTTGTTTTGTGCACAAAAATGTGAGTGTTGGAGTGTCTATTTATACAAGAAAAAATGATCTTGTTTTGGAAAATTGTTAACTCTAGGTAAGTTATGGTAGATTTTGTTTTTTATAAATAGTCCTCCTACGGAAATTTATATATTTACTTGCTATGATAGTATGATACTACTTTTTTTGGAAAATTGTTAAACTCTATGCAAGTTATGGTAGATTTTGTTTTTATGAATAGTCCTTCTATGGAAATTTACATATTTATTTGCTATGATATTATGATTTTTCTATAGTAACTTCTTATCGATCCAAAGATTTGGTCCTTTTCTAGGGAATACTTTTTTTTACCATATATTATGTTCATAGTTAGATAATCAATTCAATAGACCTTCTATGGAAATTTACATATTTACTTGCTATGAATTATGATAGTATGATACTACTTTTTTTGGAAAATTGTTAAACTCTGTAAGTTATGGTAGATTTTGTTTTTATGAATATTCCTTATAAATTTATATATTTACTTGCTATGATATTATGATTTTTCTATAGTAACTTCTTATCGATCCAAAGATTTGGTATAATCAATTCAATAGACCTTCTATGGAAATTTATATATTTACTTGCTATGATAGTATGATACTACTTTCCTTATTTTAATTTGTTTGTCTTAGTTTGACTAGATTTGAAGTTTAAGAAAGTAAACAAAGATTTTTAAATTTTATAATTTTAATTAAATTAAATATATACAAAATGTGTATTTATGTTATGATCTTAAACATGACATATGTCATATTGAAAATTAAAACTACCGAGTTGTCAAAAAAGGAAAAAAAATTAGATCGACTAAAAAGAAAGTCAAACAAATAAATTCAAAGGTCAACTGGTCAGTTCAAAGGTCAATTATGTAGAATTTTCTATATAAGGAGCTGAATATTATCTTCATTGGTCAATCGAGGTTCATATGGTAACATAATATTATTATGATAATATTGTTCCAAAATTCTGCACTAGCGACGTAAATATTACACTTACAAGTTACAACAGTGAATATTAGTTGAATATTTATTTTTTCTTCTCTTAATCTACCTGGGCATTTTCTTTTGTTAGTTCAAACTAGTTGAACCAAAATAATAATGAGATAACTAGTATCCACACACAATGGATAATAAAATTATACTGTCATTTTATTCATAAAAATATTTACATATTATTCATGTTTAAGGACGATATTTTTTCTTCATAGTTCACTCAATCAACAACACAAATTAACTGAAAACAAACTTAGACCCATATACGATTATATGTCTTCTAATTTAAATAATACTGAAAGTTGATTGTACCAAAGATACGAGTATAATTTGTATTCATTACTCCCTCCGTTCCTTTTTATATGTCATCAGTTTCTATAAATAGTTGAACCATATTACTTGTCATTCCATAAAATCAATGCATAAATTACCATATTCTTCCTATTATACCCTTGATGGAGTAGTTAATTAGTCTTGAAAATATATATTTTGACCAACCTAGGAAAACTAACAAGTAATTAATATTCATTGAAGTGCTTCTCTCTCCATTCATTATTCTATAAAATCTAATTTTGAAAACAAACTCAAAAATTTAAGTCATCCAAATACATTTTAATTTTTGAAATCTAGCATATTCATCATTTATTGAAAAGTTGACTTAAAGAAATCGTAATTTCTTAATGCAAGTGCAAGGTATAAAAAGAAAGTAGATTAAGTGCAAAACAAAAAGCTGACAACCAACCGGAAGTTCTAAATGTAATATATTGTTTTAACCAGGAAACAAAAAACGTCAACGTATTTAAAGAGAACTGAAAACAGGGAAATCAAGTCGAGAACAACAGTGATACAAAATGATTACATGTAAAGCCCTTCAGGCACTCCCTCTTTCTTCTTGAACATGACCTTGTCCTTGGCCTTCTTGAAATCTGGATGAGTTACCTGTAGACATACAATTATGTTGTTAAATAAACATCTATAGCACCAGCTACCAGGTATACTATCACTCAAAAAGTACCACACTCAAGATAACACGAATACAAATTTTATGAATAAAATCAAAAAAATTATACGTAATTAATATACTTTGCCAGCAAAAGAACAGTGCAGCAGCAAACTATAGATGGATATTTGATCTTCCATTTCTTATGATCTTCTACTTTTTCCAGACTAGACATTCAACATAGGTGTCAAAGAAAATCATTGGCCCAAATTGGGCGAGTTTCAAAAATTAAAATATATTTCCAGTTTTTAAGTAACATCCTGAACATGTTTCTGCATTGTCCATCAAAATAATCCTGCCAAGTCCTAACCACACGAGTATATTAAGATGGCTAATACACATATTGGAGCACACAAGAAGATAGATAATTATAAGATCAGAGCCTTTCGTTTCATATACGTAAGTCAAGACCTACGTGCTTATGTCCAATAAACCTAAAAAAGATGTCATCCAAAGCCCAAAATCCCAAATCAATCAAGCAATGCTTACTCATGGCTTTTTTTTCAAACATTTTTTAGAATAAGACATCACAAAAATAAAAATCAAAACTTCCCCATTTTCAAGTCTCACCTTCATACGCCGCTCTCTTAAAGCGAGCAATCCAGCTTCGGTACATATTGCCTTGATATCAGCACCAGAAAACTCATCCTTCGTCATAACAAATTCTTCTAAATTTACATCATCAGCCAAAGTCATCCTTGCTGTGTGTATCTGCACACCACATATAAGATGGTTCATGAAACAGGATGTACACCAAACGCATCACGCATAGTAATCTCATAACACAATGCACAAACCTGGAAAATGCGCCTCCTTGTTTTGATATCAGGAAGAGGGAACTCAATTTTCCTGTCTATCCTACCAGGCCGAAGCAGGGCCGGATCCAGACTCTCAATTTTATTTGTGGCAAGAATCACCTTCACATCTCCTCTGGAATCAAAACCATCCAACTGGTTCAGCAGCTCCAGCATAGTCCTCTGAATTTCTCGTTCACCACCTGAGTGTGCATCATACCTGAGGGAAGAACATATTAGTTGACACACACCACAAATTCCAACCTCAAAAACAGATTTCAGATGTTACCTTTTTGTACCAACTGCATCAATTTCATCAATAAAGACAATTGAAGGTGAGAGATCATCAGCAACTCTGAAGAGCTCCCTGACCAATTTAGGCCCATCTCCCAAATACTTCTGAATCAGTTCACTTCCCACAACACGCAGGAAAGTTGCTGAAGTGGAGTTTGCGACTGCCTGAACAAAAAGGTTTAATAAAGCTTTGAGTATAATCTTATTATGGGCTAGAGACACACTATGTTCTGAAAGTAGATGAAAAGCACTCAATAACTAGTTGATTACAACTGTCTGCACATGTACACACAAGGACAAACAAATAACATGTATGGCATTAGTCAAGATACATTCTACCAAAAAATGTATTGGAAACTATTTCAACGATTAGTCAAATATGCAAGTGCCCAAACCACCTGATTAAAATAGGACTTGACTACACATTGCCACCTGACTGATAGCCTCTTAAGAGGTATGACAAGTATTTTATAGCTGTAGCACAAAGACTCTGCAAACTGTACTTCAAGAACATTGTTTACTAGCATTATATACTTGCTGATTCCAACTAGGGAAGTCAAAGCATAAATCAACCTATTCTAAGCTCAGCATACACAAAGGGGAATTTCACAAACCTTGGCAAGTAAGGTTTTGCCGGTCCCAGGCTCTCCATACAGAATTACCCCTTTCGGAGGTTTAATACCAATGTCTTCATATAACTCAGGGTGAGTCAAAGGAAGCTCAACTGCTTCTTTAATCTCCTGAATCTGGGCATCTAATCCACCAATGTCAGCATATGATTCCAAGGGAGCTTTCTCAACCTTCATGACAGACACCATTGGATCAACATCGTCTTGTAGAAGCCCAACAACAGATAGAACCTGAATTGAGGAAATCATATTGTCAAAGTGACCCACTCTCAGACTTGCACACTTTCACCAATACTTCAAAGGAATAAAAGAAAAAGAATTGCAGACAAATTACTACCAAACAATCAAGATAACAAGTCAAAATAAATGGCCAAAAAGAATATTATGGAAGGCAAAAGTTTGTAAAGGAAATACAAAGGTAAATTAGCCAACTAAAGAAGTTTCCAACTAGTCAAAACCGCTAACCATCAAACTTGGTGAAAACATAGAAGCTCTCTTGTGTAATCAATGGCAGTAATATCGTCCAAAATCAAACCACGAATCTCAAAAAAATTCAACAGTTGTGCATCAATCAAATTGTGTTTCTGCCTAATGGTTCACAACATCCATTGAAGTAATTTCAAGGCTCTAAGACAAAAGCGTGATCGTGCCTACACAAGTGTAGGTTGATCCAGATTTGCAAATATGAGAACCTGTTTTCCACAAGGGGTGTCAAATCCACCGATTATAGGATAATGTCTCTTTCGATTAGACAAATCCAATCTCTACCTAGACTTCTTCATTTCTTTTACTCTTTTTTTTTTGGCTATTTTATTGTTTTAATCAGTTTATTTCACTTCATTTCTGAAGTATTCAAATGACCATCACACTAGCACTTTGTAGCTTTCAAAACTTCAGACGAAGAAAATGATAGAAGGTGACCTTTCATTCCATTTGGATTCTGCTATATTCTAACAGCCATCCATAGTTTCCACTATGTAAAGAACACACAATACAAAGGAAAGAAAAGAATCTTCAGATATGTCCTTAACATACCATGTAAACCATATTGGTGAGGAATTCCTCAAGGGGATGACAAGACTACTGACTAGGTATGAAGCACTTATTAACCAATGAACAGAAATAGCTGATTACCACTGAGCTGCCTCAACATAACTGAGGGATTATTGTTACCAACTACAAAGAACAGTTGCAAATGAACAAAATACATAGCACATACTCTTAATCTATCACACACTAAAAAGCTTCTAATTAAAAGATCATTCATTTAGCATTATAAATACTCAGCCACCTAAAATACTACGATTCCAAACATAAATCAAGTGACTTACTTTTTCATACTTGCCACAATCCAAATTGCTAACTAGCCAAAATCTCAACAAGTAAAATCACAATTTGATAAATGGAAACGTAATTCTACCTACATTTTTTAAATCAAATACACACGAATCTCAAAGTTACCGAGGATTAGGTCTAAATTGTAACTATGAGGGAAAACTAAGTCTTGTTGAAACCCTAACAACTAAGAGGCCATCAAATATTTCAAAAAACTACAAACTAACAAAGTTCAATACCTTGTTATGCATCAAAATAGCACATCCTGGTTCGAGTTGATCTTTATCAACAAACGATAAGATCCCAACATAATACTCCGGTCCCACAGACGACGAAACAATAGCATGATTCTCATCAATAAGCTCCTCCAAATTCCCCACACTCATTGGAGATCCACGGAGATCATCAACTTTAGATCGATCCTCTTCAGTCTTCTCTTCCTGAGGTTTCAACCGTTCCTGATTAGCCACAAATTCTTCTTCCATTAACAAATAATCCTTAATTCTCTCAAGCTTTAGCAGACGAAGCTTGCACTTGGTCAGCGGCGTAACGGCTGGTATCCGAGCTGCCGCTTCGGAACCTTTCTGTTTGCGCTGCTTCCGACCAACGCGTGCCGGTGGAGCAGCTGGTTCGAACTTCTTCTCCTTCTTGTCTCCATCGTTTTTCCGGTCGCCGGGCAATTGCCGGTTAAGTCCGCCGGGCGTCCCCTGACCCATGACTATTAGCTGTGACTGAGAAGAGAGCGGCGGAAAAGGGCTTTGGAAATAGGTTTCGGATTTTTGGGTTATGCTTTTCTTCCTTTCCAAGATATATAAGATATATGCGTGTTAAAAAGTATGACTAATTACCTGAAAAATAAAATAAATAACCTGATTCAACCAGTTAAATTTCACTAACGATATAAATTTATTTAAATTATCATTTATAAATATAAAAAATAGGTAAAATCGTGTTAAATCCCACCAGAAATCAAAACACTAATGATTTCTTCTTTATGTTATAATGTTAGTGAATAGACTTAAATTGGTACTAATTGTTGATGAAAATGAGCACAAGCTAGTCCAAATAAGAAAAAACATATTATATTTTTAAAATATCATATATACATCAGTTATATTCATTTCATTACAAAAAATTTATTCTCCGCGGGATTAACTCCAAGTTAGATGGAGAGAAGTTAAGGGTTATGTAAATCGATTTAATTGTTAAAATCGCAACGTGAGTTGGTTGAAAATGATTTTAAGAAAACAAGTTGATTGTATTTCAATTCCAACATCAGTGCTAGATTTAAAATGTCTACATGTTGTGCATTCACTTGTATTACATGAAAAATAATCAAAATTTAAGATGAAATAATCTCATAGGCAGCATCTTGACTTGAAAGCTTCTTTCATTGAAAACTTCCAACTACATGAAAATGAACCAATTCTAAAGGAAAAATTAAGCGCAATCAGAAAGTTTAAATATAAAATTTAGGATAAATTACACTTAAAACCACCTGTAATATATGATTAAATTGCAGGTACATGGAAATCCTACACAAAATTGTTCACATTACACTTCACAGCTGCTGAACCATTTTAGTGGTGGAGATAAACCCATTCTTTCTCAAAAGAACCAATTAAGACTGATCTTTCCAAGCCAAAAGAGAAGTGGGAACTGAGCTAGGGCGATGAAGAGGAGGAGGTAATGATGCCGGCTTGAATCATACGTTCTCACCTCTGCGAAAAGAACTCTCTTCATTGTCTTCACTAAGAATATTCCCATGCATAAGCTTGTCCATGGCATCAAGAAGTAGTAAGAATGGCTCCATATAATTGTTCCAAGTAGAGCTATGGACAATCCTGCAAAAGCATATCCGGCGTATGACACGATGTCTAGGAGAGGAGCCTCTCCACTACCCAGTGAGAACAATGTCATCTTCAGCAAAGAAACCTCTAAAAACCAACCAACTAGCCCCTTGATGAATAGCCAATTTAGAGCTTCTGGGGTAAACCTGGAAGCAGACCAAAAAGTTTCAGAATCTACATAAACCAAAGGAAGAGGAGGTAATGGAGGAAATTATTCCATACGCCAACAGTATTGCAAGTTACAGAATGTGACAGCATGCAAAAAAGGAAAGAGAAAAGGATTTTTTGGGTGGGGATGGGGGTAAATAGGTACAGGCATGCCTAGAAGTCGTGGTATGTTACCAACTGTATCCCACCACTACTACAACATATCACTCCGATGGCCCAACTTATTGTCCTTTTTTTTTTATTTTGGATACTGAACTCCCACTTTACTAAAAGAAGTTCAAATTCTTTGAAATTAACCTTGTGTTCACTTTTGAATCCACATTTGTTTCAAATATAATAAAATTTAAATGGAATCTCAACAGCAATGCATAGAACATAGCCAACCTAGGACATCTAAATTTCAAAGGAAAAGACAATAGGAAGAGGTGGTGATTCTCATTTAGAAGACAGTTACATGAAATAAGTACTTATGCTAACAACTTTAGTAAGTTCAGTTTAAGTAACAGCTTTGTCTTCAGTATGAGAATGTGTACATTGTTGGCACTTCAACCAAAAATGAGGTAAGCAACCACTAACCAAATTCCACACGGAAATTTGACAGTACAGAATCAAAGAACTTCTCATTATTGAGCACCAAGAAACCAGAGTTAAGAAAGCTTGAGAAAACACTGTTTACCTTCCCTGGAGACCCAACGATAAACCGGCAAGAACAACGTAGGTACCAAATGCCATGAATGGAATGTACAAATCTGGAGCATTTATATCAAAGATAGGGGGCTTATAGGATAGCCTGCCACCTACCGGCTCTGTGATTCTTGTCCAATGACCCTACAGACAAATGAAAACGTAACAAATCATAACAATAAAAGAAATTATTGAGATCGTAATGTGACAATGAGAGAGATTTAAGGGTTTCATGAGCTTACTCTGTGTAGGAATGGGAAAAGCACAACTTTCAATTTGTTTCTCACGTACTGGTCATTCACTTGGAAGTAGTACTGAGGATCGGAAAAATACCTACTTATCTGTTCAATCAAAAAGTTGTCAACTAGAATTATATTTCTATCAGAAAAGCTAGACCACTTTATCAAAATATCTTTCAATAATAAACTATCCACAGACAGAACGGAAAAATGTTTTGGACAAAGATGTTAAATCATGTACAGCTTCAGAACACATTTAGTAAACTCTAACAAAGAGGTAATTGCTACACCATATCAAAGAGGAGGGGAAAGGCAATCTGGCTTAATTTTGTTTGAAGGGAGATTTTTCTGGCAACCTATGGAATAATCATTTGTATATCCACATAGACTTTCCGAAACCATAATTTTTTGATAAGTATGTAACCGTAATTCTATGGCTCACTATGAATCGCTAATTTGAATTTTTCTTTTTTTGTGGAAGGTTTTCAACACAATTGACACATAAGGGCAAAGCTTTTGCTTTTGGAAAACAATATAACTTGCACATCAGATTCAGTACCAGGAACCAAAGATAAACGAAAAGAGGCTAATCTTTTGTGTGGTCACCAAACATTCAATGCCTGCGATGCTAGCGATCCCCTCAAACCTGCTAATGAACCAACTTCCAAGAATTATGATTTGGAGGTTGGTCATTCCCACTCCAATTAAATAGCTTAGCTAGACTTGAACCATATTGCATCAAAACCACTAATATAATTCCTTTCTAGCTTTCTCCCAAGTCTTGCTCCTACTGAGCATCACACTGTGCCACTCCATGCCCCATACCACACCATCTGCTTCCAAGCTCAGCCAACATGAGAGGTCCTAATTCAACTTGAAGTTACTTTCTGCATAACTGCAGCTTAACACACTTGAGGAAATAGGTTAAACTCATGGTAACGAGCAGAATCAGAAGACGTCACCAAAAAATACCTGCTCTAAATCATATTTTTCTTTCTTCTACTTTTGACCTCCCTTTCACTCTCTTATTTGGAGTAGATGGGGCTTGTCATCAGCCATCACATGCTTCCCCAGAATATTTTGTTCATCTGACTCAATCATCCAACAGAATCCTCTACTTTTACCACTAAAACTGAACATTTATCTACCTAAATATTAATAGGTTCCGTATCCTCTCTCTAAAATAAAAAAGAAATCCTGTCCATGTTAAAGTTAATCTTTTGAGTTTACTGCACAGTGGAGAGATGACCAAATAAGGGCATGGGGTGCTATCATTGCAGCAAGGAGTAAGGAAAAGTACATTAGGAGAACAAATTTGTAAGTTGTAAAAATGAAGAACGTGATAAACAATTGGAGAATGTGAATAACTTCACCTAGCTACAATTGCTACTAAGTGACTTATCACTTATAGCTCACTTTGCTATTATGTATCAATGCCAGTTTGATGATGTCATCAAAGTGAAGACAAAACCGTAAATGCTATTTGAAATTTATTATTTCAAAATAGTAGGAGAATTAACTACCAAGAAAGCAACAATGCAAAAAAAGGATACTATTTCCTTGCTGATTATGTCATAATGCACTTTCACAAACAAATAACTTCAGAAATGTTTACGGAAAAAAAGTTCTTTTGGTAAGTGGCACAATGTAGAAATATGACCAGTCGATGAAGCAACTTACATTGCTTTGAACATATTCAGAACTGGAACCAAGGATTTTTTCTCCATAAGCCCCTAGTCCACTTCTGATGAACCCTGAGCTACCACCAGAGAAGGCATTTCCAAAAGGATTTGCCTGTATATTACCAGGCGGTCTTGGCACCCCAGACTGTGCTCCCAGGTTATCATACATTTCTGCAGGAGGATTTTTCTTTAATCAAGACAACTGTTAGTAACTCAACATAAGCATAATTCCTTTTTCTCACTGCTTGATTGAGTCTAGGATTATAAGCCAGTGAGTGCCTAGGTATCCAAAGGCAAAAAGAAATAGGATTGTAAGGCATAAACTAAAACTATCAAAGATGATTATCCAGCTCAATTCAGAAACTTCACTTTTCCCACCCAACATTGTTTAGCCGATTTTATCATTAAATAAATGCTACTCCCAGCACACCACAATAAGTGCATCACCTCAATACAAAGATATTCAGAGAAGGGACAGGCAAAGATTTAGTAGTCCAAAAGGTCTGTAGATCCAGAAAACGACTCCATCACTTTGTTTAAATCAGATCACACTTAGATTTTATCTTTTTATCAAATCTAGTTTCGTTTGAGCCCAGATTCCGATACAAATTTATCTTCTTAAAATTACTTCCATTAATAATTTTTTCTGCAGGATAAGAGCTAATTCATCACTTAATTGAAATTCCATCACCAAAAGTAACAGAATTCCTCAGGTTATACACATACCTTTTGCAACTGTTTTGTTCTTTCAACAACAAAAAATAAAAAGAGATTTTCGGATTAAATAATTCCAGTACATCATGAAAAAAGTTCATGCGGCATAGGTACAACATAGACGGCCTTTTTGCTGGAAACATCCATCAATCAGTAATTCCATTTCACAAATCACTATGACTTACATGCCAAGCAACTACCGATGCAATAGAGAGAGAGAAAACAAGTGATAAATCGAAGATTAAAATCAATAGCTTAGATTACCAGGAAAATGCAAAAAAAGTGCGACGAAATATAGATCTTCTGGTGTTGACTGTTGATGAAGGAAGCAAAAGAACTAAGAACCAATAATGGAGATCTGTAAACGATAAACTCTCAGAATGAAAAAAAATGAATTGAAAGGAGAAAATATCGAAGACTTACAGATTGAAACTCTGACTGAAGAACAGATGGAAGCGAGTCTGCAGAAGAATTACAAGAGGCCTGAATTTACAGTTAACTCTATTAACTCCAGATTTCAGAGTTCTAAAAATCGGGTCGGGTCGGGTCCTAACTTAATTTCATACGCAAACCCGTATATTACAACCCGACCCACTAGACTCCTCCTTCTTATTTTTTTTCCTCTTTCTTTATTATAATCGAAAAGTTCTAGAAAGTAAGTTAATACGATTTAAAATTCATTAGTAATCTCTACTTAATCAAGTGTTATCTATGATAAGAATTGAACTTACAACATAATTTAATTCATGTACCATGCATGGTCTTCTTATAATTTCTTTCTTCTTTCGACCTATAGAGACAACATCCTTTCTAGTATAATTCTCGATATCATATTAAACAAACATTTATAACAACATCAATGAAAGAGAACAAAATATTTTTTGTAGTGCCCAAAGAAGTAATATATATCCGCATTAGATGTTTATGTCAAATTAAGGAATTAAGATACAATACAATTTGCATACACATTTCTTTAATCTTCTTAGAAACAAGAACTTGCGAAAATAGCGCAGCTCATAATGATGATTACTCCTTTCATTTCCATCCAAATTTATGTAATGGCATTAGACTATACACAAAATTTTAAAAATAAAAGGCTTATAAAACTTGTAATCTAAACGAAAAATGTTATTCCTTTTTGGACGGACTAAAAAGAAAATAGTCTTACACAAGGAATATTTTCTGGTATTCAACTTCAAACTTCGGTGACAACAACTCGTCCCTCCATCAGAGACTTGAATCATAATAGGATTCAAACTCGTGACATACACCTAATCTAATCAAGCACCTCGAAGCAAAAATTAAGGTCAAACTGGAAAAAAATTACAGATGGCGATACTTGTAATAGAACACCTTTTCCCAGATATAATTTGATTTGTTGGGGTAAAAACCTTGGAGCCTAAGTACAACCAGCTCAACTGTTTCTAGGGGAAAAACTGAACATGGAGAGGCAAATCACATCTTTATATGAGATTATTGTTGGACTAGATCTTTTTGAGAGGCTCTAAACCTTTCACACAAGCAAGTGCGAGAAAAGGAGAGCACAATGGTACTGCTTCCATCTGCCTTTCTCCACTTAAATACCAAACATGATCGACAACAAGATCAGAAACTCATGAAGCAACTAAGGATCATCATCATAAGGTTCATTTAAAGCTGGTGAAGAAGAGAGTTCCAAAATAGAAAATCCATTGGTTTGAAACTCAGCCAACTCAGATAAATGAACTTGTTGTCCACACATGATATTTCCCCTCAAATCCAAATGCTCCAGTTTACCTAATCAATAGCAAAGAAAAAGGTCAATGAATCCCACAATTAAATGACACAGAAGGCACAGAAAGCTTTTGACATGCATTTACATATCCATGTCAACTCACATGTCGTTTCTAGTTTCTCAAAAAATTATAGAAACATACAACATACCCAGTGTAATCCCACATGTAGAGTCTGGGGAGTGTGGTGTGTACATAGTCTTACCCCTACCTTGTGAAGGCAGAGAGGTTGTCTCCAGTAGATCCTCGGCTCAAGTAAAGTATAATAAAATCAAGTATGGAGGAAGGGGGAGTTAATATAAACATGAAGCCACTAGAACATAATGTTGTGCTAAAACACTAATAGAAAACTGGAAAGTGCAGTAGAGAGCTAAAAGAAAAAAAAAGGATAAGTTAACTAAGCAAAGCTAAGTTGAGAGCAGAAGTGATTGGATTTCCACCAACTTGTGTGAAACTAAAACTGAGGCTCTTATACATCTCAATTCCCTCCACAATTTCAGCCAACTAACTAATTGTAACTAATATTTGAACTCAAACTCATAAATTTAAAACTTACCCTTCCTGCCAATTTTTTTAAAGCTAACAATTGAAATTAACATAACAAATATTTGAACTTCTTTTCACACCTAGTCCAGCTTGGCATGCATATTTGTGTATTATAGTGACTACTAAAAAGAACCTCTAAGTTGGGAATCTTTTCATATGGGAGAAAGCCTGTGGCATAACGTTGTTAGCCTGAGTCCACTTCGTAAGGAAACAGCAGGTTCAAAACTCCAGGGAGTATGGACCTGCTCCTCTACCCTCCTCCGAACTTAAAACACCAAATGTTTGTCCACGGCAGGATTCAAACTGTGAAACCGCAAACATGTGTGTATCGACGCTTCCTGTGTTGTGTATTAAATAGGAAAAATTATTCTTCTCGAGTGTTTCTGTCTATTTTTTTTTATTTAAAAGGCTAAAATATTTTCATTAGCAACACTAGCTCCATTATGGAGTAACTTATCTTTTGTTGGGAGAACGATAGATCTTAATATTTTTTATTTTTTTTTAGAAAGATAGAACTTGATAATTTTATATAATAGTAGATTTCATTCTTCAATATCACATGCTTGATATTTTATGTATTCATTGTCAGGCTCTTGTAGATGGGTTGCATTCATCTCTAGTGCTATTTTCTGATAGAATTTTACATTCACTTAACCAAAAGAATCAGCAAAAGAGATATGTCACATGCTAAAAGAAGGTTGTGACTTTGTCACAATTTATCGACCCATTATTAGTATCTGACAAAAGGAAGAAACTTACGCAACAGAGAGAAACCAAAACGAGAGAAGAAACTGAGCATTAGAATGTTGTACCTTTTGCAGCTTTTACAGCAGAGGAAAGGATTGACAAAGATTCTTTGGGCATAAAGTTGTATTTTGCGTTTACTGTTGACAGATCTGGAGCATAAGAGAAAAGCTTTGACAGAAATCTTGCAGTTTCAATTCCACCTCGATTCTTGCTGCATAAGTTTAATGAACATGTTACTCTCAGTTCAAAATCCATAAGCTAAAGTTCAATGAAAACTCCATTTAACCTTATGTTGATTGAGTGGAGCTTTGTTTCCGTTACTATCTCTTGGCCTGCTCTCATGAAGCCAGAAGAACCTAGTCCAATGTCTTCAATATCAAGAGCTTGAATACCTCCGCATAGAAACTTCCCTAGTGCTGTTCCTATCTCACTACAAAAAAATTGGGAAATGAGAATATTAAAAAACTGTTCCCATGGAAAAGGTTGGAAGCATCAAAATTTTGAAAGAAAGCTTGGAAGTGTCAAATGAGGGTAAGAAAGGGTATATATCGCACAGACAAGCTTCTGCAGTATAAACAGTGTCAAACGAGATGTAATTTAGCAAAGATTAAAAGGAGATCTGATGTCTAAAAAGTCAGCAAGAAACTAAATGCAACAGGTTCTCAGATTTTGGTGATCCTATTAGAGTTAACTTCATAACAAAGGGAAAACTATCAAAGCACCAAATAATGAAAAAGCCTGATATACAACTCCCAGGACAAAAGGTAAAGATTAGATTTGCAGCAAATTTTCCATGACGGCATTCACCTTATCAGTCCAAGCAGTTAAACATGGGATCAATTTAACCCAGAACAAGGCTTAAAATGTCTCCCAACTTTAGTTGATAAAGTGGAACAGTAAACTCTTACAAATTTAAAGCACAAAGAAAGCATGTGAAGGCCAACAGATAAACTAACTCTCCAGGTCATTTGTGGTTTTCCCTCGGAAAATATCATCTATTTAGGAGAAGAATTACGGAAGTTGAATATAATTTTGTAATTGTATCCATTTTACCAACCTGCCAAGAGAGTTGCCTCCGATCGAGAGAAAATTCAATGGTTTTCTCAAAGATGAAAGAGCTTCTAGAAGTTCACAAACTCCAAAGCATGTAAGCTCACAACTTTCCAACTTCAATTCGACAAGGGGGAAATATTTATGGGACGTCTCTTTGAAGTAGGGGATTAGACACCTGAAAGAAAAACGCAATTGTGAGACCTTAGCAAGTTGGTCACTGAATACTGATGGCTAAATTCAATAAACCTGATTCCAGAAGTCTCGATAGGATTATCACTGAGATCAAGTTGCTCCAGATTAGGTATGTGGACTAGAGCATATCTGAGACAATCCACATCGTCCATCTGTAGATTGCAGTTCCTGAAGTTGGAGAACCAAGTAAACTTTGTATTGCAGTGAAGATGACAATACAAATACACCTTTCGTGATTCATTAAGTCAGTTGTGATTAAATTTACTGTGGAACTGCTTATGCTAAGGCAGTTCAGTATGAGAAGAGACTTCTTTGAGGCATGAATAGAAAAGTCAAAGCATACCTTAAATTAAGCTCCTTTAATGACTTCAATGAATTATATGTCCCAGATGACTCTGTGCTACTTCTGTTCTTATATTTAAAATGAGAAAGCCATCCCGCGATCTGTAGTGTGAAATTTTCTATAGGTCGATTGATGCTTATCAGTATAATAGAACAAAAGCAGAGCAAATATTGTTACTCACATTGTTTTCTGAAAGGTCCAGAACGGTAATACTAGATGAAGCATCAACGAGGGTATCAAATACTTTCCTCGCAAAATGGCGAGGAAGATGGTTGTCTGATAAGCATAGTGAAGACAAGGACCTAGCAGAAACACGATGCACAAATGTAAGTCTATGGAATCATTTAGTGGGTTACAGTAGATGGAATGTACCATGTTGCACAGAATGTAAGTCTATGGAATCATTATGAGTATAAAGGATAGAACAGTTAAATAAAGAAGCTGATGGAAGCTGCAGTGAAATCCGCTTTACCTCCCTGATGATAGCAAAGATATCAGTCCAGCTGGCAAGGATTGAAAGTTGTTCTCTAGGAAGCTTGATGTCTTGATTGAGAAATGTTGCATCCCAAGTGCTTGAGGACTGTGCATGCATAGCAAGTCACAAATTGCATCAAGAGAAGAAACTGTAAACTTGCAATGCATGAATTTAATTGACTTTAGGGATCGATAGTTCTGGCTGATGAGTTTGCATAACCCCTCGACCTGTAAGGTTGAAAGCCACAGGAAAAGCAGTGTAATAGTTAATTCTTCAGCATAGCAAGTTCTACTCCAGAAGATATAACAGTTCAAAACAAAGAAATGTTTGCAAAATTCATTTTTACTACAGATGCCAAACAGAAAATGCACAAGCACTTGAGACAACAATTATGTTTCACACATTCAGTTCTGACTTGAATTCCAGAAATAAATGTATGTCAAAGTATATATTCGGATCTAATGCCAATGGCATGTCTTGAATCTTATGTCGAATAGTTTCTTACAGGTTAATCTTTCCTCTTCTTAGTTTTGTTACTTGTAAATTTTGCTTTTTCCTGAAAGCTAAGATGTACAGCACATATACAAAAGAACTAAACTTACATGCTCATCAGACTTAATCCATTGTAATTCCAAACTCTCCAACCTTGCATTTCTAAGTAATTGCTGCAACAAAGACATATAAGGTAATAATATAGACAAACTAAAGGAAGCCTTATATGTCATCAAATCAATTAATCTCTTCTCTGCATATTTAATGTAATGCCTGAATATACATTAAATCAGCATTTTCTAACTTACTTTTTACGTTGTTCTTTTTCTATTTGACGACAAAATTAGAAATTGAAATTTCACACAAATATTATCAATTAGAAGCTTTTTTTTTATCTGTGTAGTTAAACATCTATATTTGATTTCAATTTAAAATGCCCTGCTTGATCTTAGAAAGTCAAATTGGACTTTCAATTGGAAATAGAGAACATATAGTGCACAGTATGTGCAAACCTACAACTTACACAAGTTTCTTCCACACACAGAACATTTGGCAATCTCAGGTGCCTGCAATCAAACAAATGTAATTAAAAAATGAGCTATGTTTGAGAACATCAAGAAAGGTCGTTGAAACACAATATGTAGCTGCACAAATCATTTGCAATAAATGAAGGGTCTACATGCACTTGAAGGCTCAATATTTGTGCTTTTAATGTTCAAAACAACCACTTATTCTGCACACACCCTGTTTCAAGGAGGAAAAAAAAGGAAAAGCAAGTAGAAAACTGCAGAGGAGAGAACACCAGTTTCAACCTTCAATGATACTTCACAAATGCAGTGTTCAAGACGATGACTCGTAATAATAGGAACATTTATTTGCATATGGCATTTAAAAATATTTCTGCCATGAGGCTCATTGTCCTCCGAACAGATAACACCTGCAGATTTAAATTTTTTTGTAAAAATACACCTGGCATACGATCCAAATTGTTGGCAGTGATAAGCGAACTTGGAATAGTCACAGGTGAATCTACTGATGTGTCCCCTATGATCAATATAGTTTAGGATTGATTCTGCACAAACAAAAGAAGCTTGTATCAACTAAATCTTATATGGCTAGTTTAGGGCCTTTTTGTGGAACTTACTTGAGTTACAATTTTTCCAGAACAGGGAAAGACTTCTGCATACAAATACTACTTGTGATACAAAAATATAGACAAAACAAAGGCATCTGAAAAGATTCACCTTCTTCAAAATCCTCTTTAAACCCTTTGTCCAAAATATAGCTTTCACGTAGTGTGTGTATAAAATATTCCTTAATCCTTACCCAAATAGACAAGAGGAAAGGGAAGAAAGAAAAGTTAACCCCACCAGAGGATTTGAATGTTTAATAGAAAATTTTGATTTTAACCCAAGACAGCATCTAAAAGAGGATGCATGAAGAAGGATCTGGGCATGGATGCCGAAAATTGATTGCCAGAAAGTAGTGTGATGGGTGATAAGAGACATCAATCAACATGAATCTCTTACCTGGAACTTCCATTTCACTAATCCGACCATGAAAAGATGGGAATAAAGCAAACTCTGCTGTTGTATCCAGGCAACTGTACCTCAAAAAATGTAGAATTTTAAAATGACAGGTGAACTGAAGCCATATAAAACAGTGGTAACCACCAATAAGTAGATCATTTGATGTTCATACTTCTGCAAATGTGCTTCCCAATACATCTGTTGCCAGTCATTTGCTGATTCACACTCTACTTCTTTTTCGTTTGCTGATCTGGCAGATGACTTACTCTTGAAATTCTTACTCCTCCAACCAAAAGCAGGCCACCGAGCTTCATACAGATTTTTCCACTCTTCCTCAAAATTCAGATATCTGCAGAAACATATTCCAAAATGAAATCATTTGCAGATCATGTATATCCAGGTAACCACTCCTCTGCAAATATTACACATGATGTAACATACTCTTTCTTTATGACCAGGAAGCTGAAGAAAACTCACTCAATTTCCTATATTTTCTACAGATGCAGACCTTTTACGCTTTCTCTGATTATCAACACCGTCAGTCAAAAGCTCATAATCATCCAAGATATCAGATTTCCTGCAACACAAGATTTTCTGGTTAAAGTTCAGGCACTATAATGCACCCCTCCCACTACATAAAGGTTCATGTGAAAAAACGTAAATAATATCAACCACCTATATCAATCATACATATGATCTACCTAAAATGTTGATCAATTCACGGTTAACTAGCTTCATCACACTTAATTCCAAACCACTTCCTCAAACGGTCAGATGCACCAAAAGTTTCAAACTATACGCCTTTTATTCATGGCCTTTTGGTTTAGAAGTAATTACAAAAGAACTTTCAGTAGATTAAAAGAGAGAATAGATTTTTAAGAACAGAAGTGGTTTGGAACAGAAGTATTCTCTGAAAATAACAACAACATACCCAGTGTAATCCCATGGGTAGGGCTTGGGGAGGGTAGAGTATGTGCAGACCTTACCCAACCTTGGGAGGTAGAGAGGTTTACGAAGACCCTCAACTCAATAAAAAGCATATCAAAGTGGAGATAAGTAATTATATTCATGCTTTTGAACGTACAACGTGGATAACTAAGTCACGGCTATTTTAAATAAAGCTCTACAATGTGGTCAATCCCAAACTAGTCAGTCAGCAGTATGAATACTCAATATCCATTCAGCTCCATTGGAGCCAGTTCCAATCCAAAACTCAACTATTTCTAATTAAAAACACACAGGGGTTCTCCGAATATAGGGATTCTCAAAGTTCCTATAGTTAAATCAAGTGGGTCAAAAACTGTGATGCCTCATGTTCAAATCTCAACAGAAGCAAAAAACACGAGGTGGTATCTTCTCATCTATCCAAGCCTTGGTGGAAAGATATTTACCGGTCCATGTACCTCGTGGAATTAGTCGAGATGCAATGCAAAGCTGGCATGGACACCGCGGTTATTAGAAAATAAATATAGGGATTCTCTACTAAACTCTGGTTATGTGAATTTGGCTTCCAGTGTAAGCTCAGACTGTTGTTTCAGTGATAAAGAATGAGGGTCGAGTTAATTTGACCACCACCAACCACCACCCACAGCAAAAAAACAAGATTTTAGGATAAAAAAAAGTTTGGTAAAAACACATATAATCTATAGCATAGTTGATCTAACAACCTATCTTGCAATCCAATACTCAAAAGGGTTCTCCAAATATAGGGATTCTCAAAATTCCTATAGTTTAATGAAATGCGTTGAAAACTATGATGTCTCGGGTTCAAATCTCACGTAAGAGGCAAGAAACAATAAGTGAATTCTTTCCATCTATCCAAGCCTTGGTGGATATTACCGACGTGTACACAAGCTGGCACAGACACCGCAGTTATAAAAAACATTTACTAAATAAACATCTATAATCTATAGTAGAGTGTTGTGATAAAAACCCTTGTTGTAATTTCTGCAATGCCAATGGAGGTAACTGCGACAGCAACTGATCGAACAACTCCGTAGGAAGGTGATACAATACTGATGAAAGATTAAGATCATCAACTGAAAACAAAAACAAAAAATGCTAAGCATAACACCAAAAATTATGATTCCCATAAACAACAAAAACAATTACCTTGAATGAGTTCATCTCTAATTGAGTAAATGCATAAGTTAACTAATGATGGAACTTCAATTTCCCCCATGTTTTCACAACCCTAAGATAAATACTACTCCATAAAGCTGCGAATTTTTACAAATGGGGTTGCAAAAATTCATGTACAAAATGCGAAAAAAATGAAACAAATAATTAAAGATAAATTATACTAGCAAGAATTTAACAGCAAAATGGAAAAAGGGTTATGATTAACAAGGAAGAAAACAAGTTTTTTTTTTTCGACAGAGATGACTTGGGGCGTCTTCTCTTCTAGGTTTGCTGGACACTTCACTGTCTAAATGTTCACTTGTAAAACATGAGTTTTTAGCTAAAATTATTCCTTATTTAAACTGATAGGTTTATTATTTTAATATGTATTGTTGAATATGTTAATTCATTAAAATTTTAAAATAGAGCATCTTTAGTTCAACTAATTGAATAAATTAAAATTTTAGTGATAATAATTATTTAGAAAACATAATAAAATCAATTTTAAAAAATTAAGTTACTTTCAAATCAATCAAAAACTCAATCGACTCATTGATTTGTTATCAAATAATTTAAAAAATAAAATTGATTGAACTCAATGTTTAGTTAACTGAGCTCGATCGATTTATTTGTAAAAATTTGATTAAAAAATCGATCGAACCTGATTGGTTATAATAAAAAGGAATTGCATAATATTTAAATGACTGAGCTTGGATGGTTTTTATCTTTTCAAATATTTGGCGGGGGGTCGAACTTGATCAGTTTGATTGACTTTTCAATTGGTCCAAAATTCAATTAAAAAAATTTGATTTATTTTTTCGTGTTTTCAATAATCACCATTGGTTTTTAAGTTCATTCTGCTCATTAGATCTAAAGTGTTCCACTTTAACAAACAACTGAAAATGTCCAAAATTACTATATTTAAAGAATCAAAATAGACATACTTTCAAAACAAAAATAGACACACTCTACCAAAAACTCTCTAAAACATCAACTCCTCCTACTTTAAAATTTTTAACTTATTAATCTCATATTGTTAAAATAATGTGATTTAATATCGTGTAAAAGTCAAGAAAATTTTACTAGTAAAAAGCTATTTACACAGTAATTAAAGAAATAACTCTTATTTTCTGCTTCATTGTTAATTATTTTAAAAATGCGATTACTTCAAATTTTGATCATACCACAAGCAAACATAGATAAAAAGTAATTTGGTGCAATTGAAAAAGGAAATCATGTAAGAGTCCCAGAGAGATTTGTAGAAGTGATTAAAAAAGAATGTCGATAAACTATGCATTGGTTCACTTCAAAGTATTGTTGATGTTGCAACGAAATTGTTCTTATTTTTACTTTTTGTTTATTTCTACGAGTATGTGAGATGTTAATATTTTTAATATAAGTTGATTCAGATAACAAATTGCTTCTTTCAAATGTGCTTTTTAAGTTTGTGAATAAAAGAAAAATATATAGAAAAGAAATTTAACTTGTATACATTAACAACTAAATAATTATATATTAGAGAAAAACAATATTTCATTTCCCGTTTCATTCATCATATATATAAATATCTAGAAAAATTACAATAATAAATATAATAAAGTTGCACTGACTTAGGTAGCAACTTTAAAACAACTCATCATATATATATATATATATATATATATATATATATATATATATATATATATAAATAATACTATATAACAAAATTGCAATAATACATATAATAAAGCTGCATTGACTTAGCTAGCAACTTTAGAACATAAAATTTCAAGAAGATACATATTATCTAATTGGATTTAGAGAGAGTCAATAGCCATAATGGTGCTCAAGTTCATTGGTGTCATGTACTTATCAGAGCCAGTAAAAAGCGTTTGAACAATAATTTTATTGGCACGTTCAGAAGGATGGAAAGGATCCCAAAATGCATATAAATCTCTGTTGGGGCATAGATTTGAAGAAGCTGTGCAAATGCCTATTCCATTATATGGTCCTTGTCCACAACATGCTATTTTTGACGTCACAAAACCTGTTCATTTATTTGAAGATAAAAAAAAATTAATTAATTCCTGTTTATCAATATTATTAAACAATATAGTCGTAAGTTACTTTTCAAACCATTAGGTTATATAAAAATAATTTCAGGTAATTGTCTATAATAGGAATTAATTAACTTCTTTCTAATTGATATCGTAAAAAAAATGACTATTAGATCACTAAAACATAACTTTATGTAATCGTCTATAACACGTGAGACTAGTAACTTAAAAAATAAAACTAGAAATTTACTAACACATATTAAAATATATTGATAATATAAAATTATTTTACACGATCATGTCTATATGTTAATCAGAATTAAAACTATATATGTATGGTAAGAAAATTACATTATATAAATGAAATTTAACACGTTATAGTGCATTTTTTTAATTTATTTTCCGAATTATCATATTATCATGTTTGTTATAACATCTACAAACTATTACTACAATAAAAATTATGGATGTAATGATAACTACTCCTCCATCCTTAAACTATAAATATCGAATTCACACCTCATAAAAACGAGTCACTTTTAGTAGACAATATTTAACCCTACTTGTCAGAGTAAATTCAAATTAATCGAAGCTCAAATCAAATATTGAACACGAATTTAAAAAAAAGGGATACCAAAAGCTTGTGGATTTGTGATGAAGTCAGTCTGCATCTCCATAGCATTTGCAGCAACAAAGATATCAGAGCCAAGTTCTTGATTGAGTCCTTGAATCATTTGGACAAGGAGAGGGTTGAAAATTGCTGAGGCTCTTTGAGGCTCCTCAGCACATTCTCCATTGACACTCCTTGAGGCTAGACTGGATGGGACACAACCTAATGGACCTGATCCTGTCACTAAAACTCTTCTAGCTCCCAAGTCATATAGCCTCTGCAAACAATTTGAATGTTTTGTTGTTGTTACTTCAATATTACAAGTTTAGAGAAAAAAAAAATATTCAAAGATTATACTTAAAAGTTTGATATTGTAGATAGATAAAGGTGGTAAATAGGCGGACTAGATCATACATCCTGGCTCAAACCATGTCATGATCTAGTCCGTTCAAAGTTCTAAAATTGTGTTAGCACTTTTTATTCGTTTTTGACCTAATAATTTGATGCGTCATTTCAAATGAAAGCAAAAATGATTCAAAATTTTAAAATAGGTGTGTGTTGCGTGGATTATTAAAAAAAAACAATTTGATTTTGCCACAAAACAGACATAGGCAAAAGTGAAAAACTTTATTTTGAGTCTCACACAACTAACATAAACTTTAGTTGTTTGAGGCTTCTTTTTATCTTATAAGTTAACGGATTCAAATATACTATACAAGTTAATAAGAACTATTAATTATGTGTCATTCTCTTTGTTACTGACTAAAAATATGAAAATGAGCGAGTCTATTAATCAATTACCATTAAGATCTTTCGATACTCGGAGATGATATAAACAGAGAAATCTTGAAGATTGTACTGAAGTCGTCTTGCAGAAACTGGTGTGAAAAAATAGTTGTTGACATAGTCATTGCCTCCCAAAGTAATAAGAACAAGTGCTCCATTTACTAGCCGCTCTGTTTGTTCTTCTCCTATAAGAGCACTCACTCGTGCTTGATATTGTTCAAAGTTTTGTAATTGCGTCGATATTCTTATTATGTTTGCCTACAACAACAAAAAAAGTTAATTAAATAAAAGCAAAATATTTATCAGCAATTAACTCAAAATACCACCAACGGATGGAGCTGCTCCTTCTTTGATCAGATGGAGACCTGGTATGAAAATTTTTTTGATAGAAAGTGTTTTCCCTCGAATGGGGCCCTATGCAGCGTCAAATAATATAAATAGAATAATTGGACTTACAAATTGAATTCCAGTGTCGTTAAGAATTCCAATTCCAGCAGAAGCAAAATTTGCTCCAACGAGCAATTTATCTCCAGTAAGCTCAGGGTCCAAATAAGGCAATGTAGCCTCAGCACCAAGCTCTTGGCCTGTTCATATATATTCTCATTAACAAGAAATTAAATAAAACTCACTTTTGGAACATTTACACAAGTGGACTTTTTTAGGCTACTATTTAAATCACATCCCTCTTAGTCAAGTGGGCTAAATTTTGCATTGAGAAGTAGTTGGACTCTTTAAATTAGGTCCCCATTTGCACAATTGACCTTTCTAGTCCACTATTTAATTTAAAGTCTCTTTTAGTTAGTCTAGACTTCTAGTAGTAGGTCCATAGCCTATGTGACCAAGTTTCTAAGAGGTCAATAAGTGCTTCTTTTAGAGATATTTGAAGTGTTTGGCCAAACTTTTTATGGTGGGGTGGGGGTGGGTGGGATAAGTATTCTATTATTAGCAAAAACTACTTATTTTTTTTATTGATAAAAGTCTTTTCAAATTGATTAGCCAAAACAAATTGTTACTTGCCAAAAATATTATTTAAAAATAATAATAATCAAACAAAAACTCTTTTCAAAATAAATAGATTTTTAAAGTTTTCCCAAATAGAGTATAAATTTGTTTGCAATAAGAATCAATTCATCCAACTACTTTTAAAGACAAACTTAACTATGCGAGTCAGCATTGATATAATTTAAAAGGTGGACCCATAAAGGCTAGACGGTGCAAATGATCCTATTTTTATTTTGCATCTACTCTTACAAATTGAGATAAAAGTAACAGGTTCAAATGAATTCAATAATGAACTAACTTTAGATCTGCGTCTCGTATACAAAAAGAGAGATATACATATATGAAAAAAGAGTTGGGAATCTTACTTATAAGATCAGGTATATTGAAGCCATTAGAAAAACGGCCAGTAGGACGATGAGTTGGATAATCAATTCCATAAGGTGGAGAATCTGCCCTTGCTGAAGTTAGTAAATAATTATTGTTGCCATTGTCAACAAGAGAGTCACCAAACACAAAGAAAGCACGAGGTGCACCCTCAGTACAACTAACAAATGTTCCAATAAATAACACTAGTAGGAAAATAGTAGCAAAAAATGGGCTAGGCATCTTAGACTAGTAGTAATATTATCGTAGCTTCTTATTTAGCTAGCTGGAAAGAGTACTAATAATCTGTTTTGATTTAGTATAAAGTAATGAGGCATTTATTTATATAGGAAATTAAAGGGGATGACTATGGATTATTTGTTCTTGGTTAGTTGGAATGTACATTAAATAGGCGGCTTTCAAAAAGCATGAAAGTGAGTAAAAATGGGGGCCAACTTAGCAACAAAATTAGATTTTTGTAACAATTAGTTTGCCCTTCATTATACGTGCTTCAAGCTAAGCCCTTCATCAATGCATCGCCTACAAACATTGGCTAGGGAGGCGAATTTAGATCGGGTTCAATGAGTTGGTCAACTAAACTCACATCATTGCTTCTGACTAGACCCTTAATGTACTTGTGCAAATAGCACTTCAGTGACGGGATTAGGAATTTATATATATAAAGGGGGTTTAAAAGGTGTACACCTAGATTTTGAATCTATGAGTGTTTGAAGTACTCCTTTTGTCACTTAAACAAGAATTTCCCTGAACATTTACGTATAACAAAAAAAAAAAAAAAACACTACTAATCTTATCTTGCATGCAGTATAGAGCACAAAGTTAATTATCAATTATGAGGAAGAAATAAACCATAAGGATTAATTATTGTACACAGTCTTATCATGTATTTCTGCAAAAAGTTGTTTCCGCATCGACATAACACACCTATAGAACACAGAGTTAATATTACCAAAATTCTAGCTAAGTGGTAGACAGCTGCTGACAGGTGATGAGATCCAGTACAGATTGAAAAAGAGGCCATTTCATTCATTCAGTGTAGAGAAGCAGGGGCCAGGGGACACTTGAGAACACAGTTGATTGCAACTGTTAAAAATCTGGCCTATTCTTCCTGTCGCTTTTTAGCAGTTGAGGCTCATGTGCCCACACTCAATTCACAATTATATGTGACCAATGAAACAACCTTTTTGCGGAGTGCAGAGTAAGATTGCGTAAAATAGACTTTTGTGGTCTAATTTTTTGTTGCTATTTGGTATAACGGGAGTTTAGTGCACCGAACTGTAAAGATGTAATTTAGTGATCAATGAAATGAGATGAATGATGACATATCTAAGTTTACATTTCAGCCTAAATAAAAATTAAATGATTTCTTTTCATTTTCATTTGTCTTAAACTTAATTAACAATTTGTACAAAATATTGAGTTGAAAGGCTATAGTACATGTTTTTACAAAACTACACAAACAAACGCTTGCAATGTTTTTGCAAATTTTGGAACAAATATTGAGATGATTTCTTACTTTCTTAATTTGTTCTTTTTGGCAAAATTAGCCAATTATGAGCTTCGGCAAATGAGCTAATTAAGAGTACTTGTCCGACATGACACAAATGCCTTAATTTGGGGACAAGCAAATTTCATTGGCTCTTTTTGGGAAATGATACCCTAGAGGTGACACTAATCTACTTAATTGCCAATCATTAATTAGAAATGAGTCCTAGCTGAGAATATAGCTAGCTGCCTCCTAATTTGTAGTCCACTGGTCCCTAATAATTATGACGAGGTGGTAAGTAACTCTTCATTTTTAATGAGTGATTTAGAGTTTAAATGTAATTTTTAGTAGAAAATGATTTATCTTTAAAAGTGAAATCTTTAATGTATATTTGAATTAATCAGGTTTCAAATACGACAAAGTAAAAAGATAGTCTACTCCACCAAGTCAAAGATGATCATGTTCCGACAAAAACAAATTCAAGATATTAAGAGTTAATTTGTGCAACTATCTCTCCTATTACAATTAATATTTCTATGTAAATATATATAATATCTAGATAAAGTACTTTTTATTAAATAAAGTATTTTTCACAAATATATATGTATGAATGATACAAGTTTACTTGAAAATAATGTTCCAAATTTAAAATTTGGACAAAAATAAAGCTTCATAACCTCTACAACATTGCTTATACGAAATCCTACTGGCGCTATTGAACAAGATCAGAGCTAAAAAACGACACGTGAGAAAACACATAATAACTTAGGTAAATCTCATTAAGAAAGGTGAATTATTATATAAGATAGAACATATATCTTATATTACAAAAAGTTGATTAGATCAAAACTGATAATACGTGTGATGGACTTAGACGTAAACTAATCAAGTCAAATATAGGTGTTGGGCAAATGTACGAGCAACGCCTGCAATTGTAAGTACTCAAGTCCCACAAAGTAAAAGGTTAGTTGATCTGCATTTTACATTTCATTTATTGATCGTTTCCTTTTGCGGCTATTTAATTCCCTTTCCTCCCAACCCACTTACTCTCTCATTATTTTTTGAATCCTCCTCGAACTCTACGCTTAGTACTTTATAAATTCTTATTTAAATACATACTCTCTCTGTTCCTATTTATTTGTTCACTTTTTCTTTTATAGTTGTTCTTAATTACTTGTTCATTTTGACAAATCAAGAAAAAATAATTTTTTTCCTGTTATACCCTTAATTAATTACTTTGAAAAAGGTAGAACCTTTTGAAAATATTAAATTTTTAATTCATCCACTTCATAATTAATAGGGGTAAAATGGTAAACTCACTATGTTAATAATTGTTTTCTTAATAGGTGTGTCAATTCAAAAGTGGACAAATAATTAGGGACAGAGGGAGTACGTATTTAAATTTGTAATCACTAATGTATTGACTATAGTATTGTGACATTTTATATACTTATCCCCTTGTAATACTATTCTGAATTTTCATACTCAACCAAGGCAATATAGGGGATAAAATGCACAATTATATCGTTTTTCTCAGACAACGGCAATATAATTAATGGAATAAGATATCGCGATTATATTTTTACTCGATGATAATATTGTAAGGGGATAAAACGTAGCAATTATAATTAAGGGGGATGAAATATCACAATCATATCATGTGCAACATTTGATTAATGTAGTAGTATATTGATTTTTCCATAACTTTTTTGTGGTCACAACACCATAATTAATGAGAAGATATTAAGATTTCCCTATACAACCTCGTGAACAAAAATATCTTTCAAAAATCTCCAACGTATGTATTAGGAAAGGAAAACATATTTGGGTCAATGATGGACCAATAGCTAACACTAGGACAAGGCCCAACAATTAGCAGACCCAAATTATATCACCTCTGGGCCCAAACAGGCCCATCTTTTCTCCACACCAAATACACCTTAATGGGTCGATCTGGTTTCATTTAGGCAGAGGCCCATGTTTTCTTTTAAGAGGAACTTTCACATATAGCCACTCAAAAATAGCCTAATTACTCTCCATAGCTATAGTTTGATAATTACAATTCGTAGCTACATGTCATAGGGAGGAGAGAGGCGAGCGAGACTGGGAGAGAGAGGAGAGAGGCGAGCGAGAGGGAAAATAGTGGGAGAGAGGTGAATTGTATATGTATATCGGTTAGATAATTGTATATCATACAAATGTATTTGTATATATGGCAAGCGAGATTGGGGGAGGGAGGAGAGAGGCGAGCGATATTGGGAGAGGAAGGAGAGAGGCGAGCGAGAGAGGTGAATTGTATATGTATATAGGTTAGATAATTGTATATTATACATATGCATTTGTATATATGGCAAGAGAGATTGGGAGAGGGAGGAGAGAGGCAAGCGAGAGGGCAGATAGTGGGAGAGAGGTGAATTGTATATGTATATCGATTAGATAATTGTATATTATATATATGTATTTGTATATTCTAGCGAATTATACATATACAAACTCGAAGTCAGTCCACGTAATTAATGTATAATATTAGTCGTGAGTGGTAATTATAGCAAACTATAGCTATGATGAGTAATTAAATAGTATAAGTTTGTTTAACCGCGTAATTTAATTGCATCTTCTTCTTTTTTCTACTGTTCCATTCAATTTGTCAGCATTTAAACCAATGCTCTGTATTTATAATACAGTAGTTTAAGAAAAATAATAACTATGACGATAGTTTTTTTGTTACAGCAATATACGTGGATACAAGTTAGATGTTGTATACATGCATACACATGAATACACTTATTATTCGCAAAAATACAATGTACTTCACTTATTATGCGTGCAGATTCAATGTATTTCACCATTGCTATCCGTACAGATACAATGTATTTCACTTGCGCATGGTTACAAACTATCGTTATGTTTCGTAAATACAGAAACGGTTGCTCTGTCTCGTAATTAGAAGCAGAAATATAGTTATATACAAAAAAATTATCTTTAATTAATCTAAGCATATGTTAGCCTTCCTTGGAACATTTATCAACTAAATATACCCGCCAAGATTAAGGCGAATAAGGACAATTCACCTTGCTTTTGTTGTTAATTGATTACAAAATTATTGTCTTCTTTATTCGTTTTATCTCATCGCCGGATGATGGTTGAAGAGAATTTTAGCATTTTTGAATGAATTTATATTCGATTGCACAAAGCATTATATTTTTTACACTCTAAGTTGACTTATAATAACAGATAACTCTATAATGAAAATAGGGTAATATACTACTCAAACTGATGAAATTGTATCTCTAGTGTATTTATATATATATATATATATGTTTCATTTATATCCAAGATATGTTTGTGCTATAGCATTTGTTGCACCTATTTAATAGGTTAAATGTCCTGCACATCTATATTGGGATCTTGATAATTTAATTGAATTAGGTAGTGTGGAAAACTTTGTGCTGTATTGTACCAACAGGGTCAGCAATTAGGTGGTGATTGAACAAGCCATTGAACAATATACCCATAAAACATGTGCAATTAATGTCCTTATGGTCCTACTCTTGTCTTGGCAAAACAAGTGTGTGGTCCAACAATCAAGTGTTTGCCCTTTGCCTTGTTTTTTCCTTTCATTTCACATAGTAATAAATATATTAGGTTTCTCCATATTTTGTAAGGATTAAAAAAAGTTTGGCATTTGACGTTTACATCATAGGGGTTTATCATTTACTATATATAAAAATTGCCCTCGTATATACATTGTGAATTTCCAAGAAAAGGGGGGGGGGGGGGGGGGGCTCCGCCC